GCTACCTCATAACTGTAATTTTGCTACTGTTATGAATCGTAATGTAAATATCTGATATGCTATATGTGTTTTCCTATGGTCGCGACCCACAGGTTGAGAACCACTTAATACATTTAACAAAGTTTAATACATTCATGCTGCTTGTGATAGGGGATGCTAAGGAAGGCACACACATAAATCAAGGGTAAAAACATTAAACCAAATCCAAAGATAGATACTATGCCTGGAAATTCAGACCTGATTTCAGGGTTAATATTCTGTTAGATTTGAGTGCCATCACTTACATGCTTAAAGGACCTGCTCAGCCTCCTTTGTGGCCCCCAGGCAAATTCCTAATGAGAGTGTGATCTTACCACTCCTGCCAGCTGCCTGCCCTGGACCTCCAAGTCAAATGACCCCGCAGCATCCTCTTCACAAAGAAACTCACTGGCTTCCTGCGCAGCACAGAACAGGCCTCAGTTGCTCTCCTGTTATTTATTGAAAACCCTTTCTAGAGGAAAATAATTCAAGAGGTGCTAAACTCAGTCATGATCAGAGAAATGCACTTGAAAAAAATAATGTAACAATAGCTTGGCAAATGTTTAAAGTGCGATAATACCAAGTGTTGGTGATAGCATGAGGAAACAGGTACTTTCATACAATGCAGAGGGACAGGTGATTCAGTACAATCCCTTTGTAAGGGGAATTTGGCAGGATCTTAAAAACACATATATGCATATACATACACAGATGTCATATCATATGCATATACATGTATGTACACAACATACATATATGTTACTTTTTCAAATCTACCTAGAAAAACTATTTTACTATTTTACATGGGAACAGGTAAAGAATGCTCACCCTAGGATCATTTTTAATAGTGAAAACAATAAGGAAAAGGTTAAATGAAGTAACTTATGATAGATCCAAACCATGAAACTGATACAGAATTAAAATGAACGACATATTTGCACACCTATGAACATGGGAAGATGTCTAAAGTACGTCGCATAGTGAAATGGTAAGGCTGTTGACATCTAAGAATAGGAGAGGGGACAGATCAGGGGGTAGTTGAAGCCTTATTTGTGATTATTTAATTTTTATTTACCCTCTGGCTTAGATTTCTGGCTTAAAACCTCAGTTATGCCACTCACTTCCTGGGTGAGTCCTGTGCCCCAATATTCTCATCTACAAAGTCGATGGCACAGCCAAAACGGGGACAAATGGCAGTGCCTGGCCCTTGGTAGGTGCTCACTGAGTACTAGAAGCCTTTCCCTTGTCACCTTTCCAACATCATCTTACAAATGAAATCAACATTTTCATAACCTCAAGGATGGAGAAAGAACTTTCTTTGTGGTGGCTTTTCTCATGCTCCTATTTACTGCCCTTTCAGTTTGTGTCCATAAGCTCTTCTTACTCCCATTCTTCTCAATCCCTCTTGCATTATCTTTTGTGCATCTGCTGTAAGAATTCTGCTCTGATAGCATTGTGGGAAAGCATAAGGCATTCAGTGACAATGTTTTGCTAGGTCTCCACATAACCAAATGAGATTATATCTGAAATTCCCTAGAAAGTAGACAAAGAGATATCAAAGGCTGTTAGATTTTGCTTAACAGAAATACAGGGAGATGGAAATTATACAAAATGAGCTCCATTACTTCAAAGAAGAAGAAAGTAACTCATTTCATGTAGGCAATAATTCAGCAGTTCTAAAAAATCAGAACAGCAGAGAGAAAGAAGGAGTTTATGGAACTACCCCATCTCACTTTATTTTGCAAAATGAGGAAACATATGCAAAAAGGTCCCAGGATTGTCCAAAGTCAATGAGCTAGTCAGCTGAAGACCAGAGTAAAACTCTGGAACTTTTTACTACATTCTTTCCTTTCCTCCCCAGTAGAGGTCAGTGAGATGTGCATTCAAGAGATACTGTAGCCCTGGCCTGATCTCAGTGGTTAGAGCATCAGCCCATGCATTGAAGGATTGCAGCCTCAGTCCCCAACCCCCGGCAGGGTGAGTGCGGGAGGCAACCAATCGATGTGTCTCTCTCACATGAATGTTTCTCTCTCTCCCTCCTTTTCACTCTCTCTAAAAATCAATGCAAATATATCCTCAGGTAAGGATTAACGCACAAACACAAAAATAGATACTGTAATTAGGGAATATGCTGTCTCCAGTTAACAGGTTGATCCTGGATAATAAGCAATTCTCTTTGGTCATTTTAAGAGAAAAAGAACACAATTTTAAAATGACCCAAGATAGTCCAACCAGAGTGGCTCAATTGGTTGAGTGTCATCCTGTGCACCAAAAGGTTGCTGGTTCTATTCCCAGTCAGGGCACATACCTGGGCAGGTTCAGTCCCCAATCCAGGCACATACGGAAGACAACTGGTCTATGTTTCTCTCTCACATTGATGTTTCTCCTCTCTTCTCACTAAGTATGTATGCAATAATTAGGGTGAGGATTAGATAGATAGATATGTATGTATGTATGTATAAAATGACCCAAGATAGCCCTAACCAGTTTGGCTCAGTGGATAGAGCATCGGCCTGCGGACTGAAGGGTCCCAGGTTCAATTCCGGTCAAGGGCATGTACCTTGGTTGTGGGCACATCCCCAGTAGGGGGTGTGCAGGAGGCAGCTGATCGATGTTTCTCTCTCATTGATGTTTCTAACTCTCTATCCCTCTCCCTTCCTCTCTATAAAAAAAAAAAAAAAAAAATCAATAAAAATATTTAAAAATAAATTAATTAATTAAATAAAATGACCCAAGATAAAGCTGAATACATGTGTTAAGTTTGGAAGAACCTAAATAGGGTTTATTAAATTCCCCAAAAATCATTGCTGTAGACCAAGTTGCATATAATTACTCTTTGACAGTTTTTCTCCACACACAAAATACTTCATTATGGCTTTGGAGGGGTAAAATCTTGAGATTAATTATTCCTTTTGATACCATTGTAATTAGCTAGTTATTAATGATAGAAATGGAGAAAAGGGGGAAGGGTAGACATTGTAGGCATGTCATTTGGGCAGCTTCACCAACAAGCTGCAACTTCACACTCCAGGGATTCAACAAAGGGAAGTTGGGGTGACTAGGGAAGGTTCTGTCCATCACATCTGGGGACAGAGATCATTGGCCAGAATGGATGTGGTCACTGCAAGGAAGTGAAGATTTGGGAATGCATAATTCCCTAAACAAAGAAGGTCTCTCTGGGCTCTCTTGTTGCTCACGTGGCTCTTGGCTCTTGGTTCTCGTATGTTCGCCTGTGTGGCCCACAGTCATGCAGATCTCCACACACAATGAACTAATGGACTTCAGTGGAGAAACACAAGCTAAGCTAGCCTGATGCTGGGCTGGACCTGGCTCCAACATGGAAAGGAACTCTGGATACAATCTGGGGCTCTACTGAAGCCCCAGCTACACTCTTTCTATGGCTTGACTAAGGGAAATGGAACTCTTGAAATCCAGGGGTGTAATTCCATGGAAGTAAACCTTTCTACCACCTCTCATCCTCCCATGGGAGCCTCTGGAAATGCTTATTCTAGCGGTACTCCAAGAACCCCACTCCAATGAGCAACCGATGGAAGATGAGCCCCTCTGCTATCCTCTAACACTTTCACCCTTTACAAGAAACAAAGAGTATCCTTTCTCTTCTAACAAAACATAAAGCCTTTAACTTGAGGGTTACCCTTAGGCCCACAAGGAGGGGTCTCCAAGATAAGAGGTCAGTGGGCCCATCTTCCAGGGATCCTTAGCACCAAAATCAAGATATGATGTCATTTTTACCTAGATGGTGTTGCTCTCCTGTTTCTTCCTTATATTTATTTTTTAAAATTTTATTTTATTGTTAAAGTATTACAGATAGCACTACATATGTCTCCTTTTTTTTTTTCTCCCATTGACCTTCCCCTGGCCGCCCCTACCCCCTGGCACATGCCCTCACCCCACCCCACCCCCAGTCTCTTGTGTCCATTGTTTATGCTTATATGCATGCATACAAGTCCTTCGGTTGATCTCTTACCTCCCTCCCCACCCCTTCCTTATATTTAAGTGTTAACTCCCACTCATCCACTCCAACTGGGCCCCTGGCCCCTACCCTTGACCTGAAAATCCTCCACTTTTCTCACGCTGCCCTTCCCAGCTACCAGACCTCTCCCTGCTGATCTGCTGCCCAAACTGCTAAAGAGAATGATCTTGCAACCTCAACCAACAAACACCCTATTTTCTTTGCCCTGCAAAACAACTAAAAAATGTCAATTGTTCTTTCTCTTTTGGGAAAAAATATGAGGCCATTATTTCAAAAAGATTAAACAAATAAAAGCAATTATAATAACAGGTTACTTAACAATCTGGCTAATTCTTTCCCTTTTACATGGCATTTGGAACATGGGTTGTGTGGATAAATCTGGCAATGTCTGTTGTCAATAAAGGCAATTTAAGTTTTTTGTTTAAAAACATGTTCTCAAATCCAAAAGAATATACTTGAAACTAGATGTTACTTATCATTTGGACTAAAAACTTTATTGGTCTTGCTCTCTCAAAGACAGCTACTTCTGCCCTGGCTGGTTTGGCTCGGTAGATAGAGCGTTGGCCTGGGGACTGAAAGATCCCAGGTTTGATTCTGGTCAAGGTCACACGCCCGAGTTGTGGGCTCGATCCCGGGTGGGGAGGTGTGCAGGAGGCAGCTGATCAATGATTCTCTCTTATCAATGATGTTTCTCTCTCTCCCTCTTCCTTCCTCTCTGAAATCAACAAAAATCATTTTTAAAAAATGATATATCAGCTGAAAAATTTTTTTAAAAAGACAACTATTTTTTCTCCTACCTCTAGTTGCCTTGGAATTCACCCTCAAGATGTTTGCTAGGTCCACATCTCATCAGTCTTTGCTGGGCTATAGTAGAGTATATCAAAGCTGGCAAATTTCACCTTATTACCTATACGCTGTGCTCCTCAGTTGTGCTTTCCTGTCATAATGCAAGCCTTTGTCTCTGTGGATCTAAAACTTCCCGCTGGAGTTGAAAAGGCACATGAGAACCCGTTCAAGGGGAAAACCTTATGAGTGTTGTATTTGTCGTGCGCGATTTACCCAAAGTGTACCATGAAGATGCACACTCTACAGAAGCGCACAGAAAATGTGGCCACATCTCACCGTTCCCGCCGTGACAGTGCCAGAGCAGAGAACGTGATTGGGGTCCACTTGCGATTGGGTGTCCACTTGCGAAAGCAGCGTTCCCACACTGAGCAAGGCGAGGAATGCCCATACTGCGAGGCTGTGCTTCATGCGCGCTCAGCCCTCACTCAGCATCACAAGTCACACAAGAATGAGAAGCGCTTTCCGTGTGATTCCGCCTGCAGACAGGAGAGGCACACGATCATGCAGCCTTCCGCCTGCAGCCACTGCGACAAGACTTTCCGCCAGAAACAACTCCTCGACGTGCACTTCAAACGCTATCTCGACCCCAACTTTGTCCCTGCGGCCTCTGTCTGTTCTAAGTGTGGGAAAACATACCCTAGCAAGACATGCTGATAATTGTGCTGGTCCAGATGGTGTAGAAGGGGAAAATGGAGGCGAAACAAAGACCCTCCGACAGCGAACATGCTGAGCCAGACCTGGATGACACCGAGGATGAAGAGGAGTCTGCCGTGGGAATTGAACCTGAGCCTGTGACCCCAGCCCCACCACCTGCCAAGAAGCTGAGAGGACCTACCCCCCACCCCACCCCACCCCACCCCAAACAGACCCAGCCAGCTCTCATCCAGGTTGAGGATCAGAATACAGGTGCAATTGAGAACATTGTAGTTGAAGTAAAAAAGAGCCAGAGGCAGAGCCCGTGGAGGGGCAGGAAGAGGAGGCCCAGCCCGCTGCCACAGACGCCCCCAACGGAGACCTCACCCCGAGATGATCCTCAGCAGGATGGACCGGTGATGGCAGGGCCTTGTCTTTAGCAGGACTGCTCAGGGCTGTTTAAACGGCCTGCATCTTCATTTTTCTCCCCTTTTTCTTCTTTTGGCTTTGGGGAAAGCACCACTTTACACCGTTTTACCAAACATACCGAGAACTAAAACTTCAAGGATGATGTTAGGAAAATACGATTTAACTAGAACTTGCGTCGGCAAATCATGAAATGTTCTGAGTCCCTGCGGGTTCACCCGGAAGTGCTGAGGGCGGGGTTGATGCCTAACTGGTTTCTTAGATGGAAACAGACATTGGACCCTCCTCTGGCTGCGGTGAACCACTCCAGAGCAGCCACCGCTTGCCCAGAGTTCTGTGGTCTTCTTCCCAGGAAAGTTTTTAATCGTAAATGCAGACTTGGGAAGGACTTAGACTTTTAAACTGGTTTTTGCTTTTGCTTTTTGCCTGACTCCCTTTGCACACCAATAACATGGCATGCGGCAGTCAGTTTTTGTCCTGAAGGCTTTGCCTCTTTCTTGGCAAAGTTTCTGGTATGGTCAGCTTGTAAATAACTATTTTTACATTTTAATCTTTTCCATTAATTAAGAGGTTGAAAAGAAGTGCAGTGTAAGAAAACCCAGCATTTTGATCACTTGCAAGTTAAGTTACCACAGACTGTAGTGTGTAAATGTTGACAAAAAGGGCACCCAGACTGCTGCCCGCTAGACGGACACCCATGTGGGAGATCGTGATTCCAGCCGTGAGCCAGCATTTGAACCTTGTACAGTTAACTTTCCGCTATGATTTCCCATCCACGTTTTCTTTGCTCTGTTTGTAGATGAGTTTTCTGTTTTATAAATCCTCTGTTAAAGCAGAAAGGTGACTATGAGCCGGTTATAGCAGCCCTGAGCAGGTGGGCCAGAAATTTTCATTCGGTCAGTAATTTAAACTTTGGATCTTCAAAAAAATAAGTAAATAAAGGTAGTAATGTGAAGCGAAACCAACTAAAAAATGATTCTTGCACATGAACTGTCACGTTTAAAATGTGTGTTTTAGAGAGCCTCAGTCTTGCTGATTTCAAACACTTTTTCCTTCTGTGTGTTGCTTTGAAGGAAATACTGTAATTAGGGAATATGTAATTATAGACTCTAGGTTGATACATTTTGTTCTTAGCTGTACTGTGTGATATTTTTCATTATTTTAGGACACCAACATGAGACCTGTAATAAAATATCTCATGGGGTTGAAAGCTGGGGAAGAGGATCTACTGCTGTATAGCTTATAAATCATAACAGATTAACAAGTGCTCCAAAATAAAATAAAATAATAAAATTAATTAATTAATAATTAAATTAATTAAATAAAATAGCCCTGACCGGTTTGGCTCAGTGGATAGAGCGTCGGCCTGCGGACTGAAAGGTCCCAGGTTCGATTCCGGTCAAGGGCCTGTACCTGGGTTGCGGGCACATGCCCAGTAGGAGATGTGCAGGAGGCAGCTGATCGATGTTTCTCTCTCATCGATGTTTCTAACTCTCTATCCCTCTCCCTTCCTCTCTGTAAAAAATCAATAAAATATATTTAAAAAAAAAAAAAAAGAAATCTGAGTACCTCTGGCCGGTGTTGATTGGTGGTTAGAGTATTGGTCCTCGGACCAAAGGGTTGCAGGTTCAATTCCCGTGCAGGAGGCAACCAGTGTATGTGTCTCTCACTGGGAAAATATCCTCAGGAGAGGATTAAAACCAAAAAAGAAATCTGAGTATACAACTGGGCATCAAATGATAGGGAAGAATGGATTATGATCCAGGGTATTTCCACCTATTGTCCAGATAAAAATTCTCTGGGTCAAAAGAAAGAGAAATACAACAGACATGGTAAAGGGGACAATGGCATCTCATCTCTCTGAGCTGCATTTCAAAGCCCAGTTCAGCAAGGGAGCAAAAGAATGATCCCCACATGCTTTAGGAAGGAACTGAACATTGAAGAGAGACCTGAAAGACTTGAATCACTCTTCAGCTCGAAGGAGAAGAAGACTAAAGTCCAGATGGGTATATAACATCTCAGTGGATGCCCCAGTGCCTCCCACCAGTCACGTGCCATGGCAGTATGTAAGCTTAATAGAAATCAGACAACAACCTAGGGGATTATGGAGGCAATGAATGGACTTAAGTTTCCACCAACTGGTAGAAAGGGTGGTCAAAATAGAAATGCATGCAGAGACCGTTGTCTTATTGGCATCTCAGGGCTTGTAAGTAGGAGATCGGTACTTCCTGCACACATCCCCACTTCTATCTGATACAGTATAGCACATCCACGTCATACTGGCAAGGTCATGCCTTTATACTCTCCCAAGACTTCCTCCAACAAAAGCTCCTTTAGAAATCACTGGGCTATGAGAAAAGTTCCAAATCAGACTCTCACACTCTCACACTCAGTCCCTAAATTGTATTTTTATGAAGTCTTTTTTACTTTGACTCTCACTCATGGAATAGCATTCCCACTTGTCATACTCATATTTGGGCATTTCTGATTGCAGTCTCCAGCTATCTGGTCCCATATCCGTGCAGGCCCCTGAACTATATTTTGGTATACTGCCCAAACACTCCTCTGGCATTCTGCCAGATTTTGGCCACATGCATCTGTTTCTCTGTGCACAGCTTGAACCAGCTATGCTACTCTGCATAGCTAAGATAAGCCAAGGACTAGATTTGGACAGCTGTAGGATTTACTCATCAAATGAGCAGAAAGGCCAGAAAATACACAAATTTACAGTTACTTTGGTCTTAGGGGTTACCAATCAACTTAATTATCTGATCATTTCTCTCTTCTGTACATGGCCCCCTTCCTCTCAGGTTTTACAACCTGTCTCCCCACCAAGGTTTGCCATACGGGGTCCTAACAGGGAGAAGAATGCATGGGAGTGGTGGCTGGGAGTGAAGATAGAGGCTCCCCATAAAAATGAAAGGCAAGTTCACACTCTTCTGTGATAAAGTCTTGGGAACCTTATTGATGCTTGGAGTTTTATGTTGATGGTTTTCCTTTAAGCCTCTGGATAATGCAAGATGGATAAGGTGAGAGCACCAACGGTGGATGTCTTCTAATTAAGTAACCATGAGTAACTCTGCTTACACCTGAAATGGAAATATGGAGTTAGGGAAGGTGGGAAAAACAAAGCTGAGGAGCCGGTGCACATTCTTTGAAAACTTTAGATTATTTTTTCTAAATTTCCTAATATATGTTACAATTTAGATACACAGTTTTAACCCTAAACTGCACTAACGGGTTATCAATTCATAGTCTTTATTCCTTTATTGGATACCTAATCCAGGGAATTGTGTTCCATTATATAGTTTTAGCATTTGCTATGTACTCTGGAGAGTAAGAGCAGGGAGAATCCAACAAATATTAAGTGTCTACCATGAGCCATATCCTGGGTCAGCTATGTCATGTATATGGTGTCCCCTATTCCACATGGTGACTCTATAAACCATACATTACATCCAGCATTGTTCATGTGGGAAAAGTGAGGGAGAGATGCATGTAGTAGAATCAGGATCCAAGCCCATGATGATCTGATAATATGAATTCCCAGTGTTGTTATTTTCTCTTCTTTTTATTATCTACCACACCTAAAGACTTAAACTGACTGCAGGAGCATTTGAGTTATTCTCTAAATTTTCATTTTAAAAAATGATGAAAAATTCACATTCTGTCTATATGCTGGCAATAAAAAACATTTTTCAGTCTGAGCTGCTCAGACATCCCAAATGAATTTTGCAGTTTGAGTCTTGGGTGCTATAAAAATCAGTAACTTGGGAAGATAATACCATGCCTCTTCCAGAATTCTGAGATGAAGAAGGTCCAATAAGCAAAGGTGAATGGATGTTCATTTTTCAGAAAACAAATAATAGTTGTCATTCAAGGATAAAGGAGAAATATTCAAAATCAAGGTCAACTTAAATCTTTTACCCCTAAGTCTCTATGATGCTATCCCAGCACCATGGACCACATCTCTGTCAGGGACAGGGTAGCTGAGCTGTGGGTGGTTTAGAGCTACCCAAGGTCAGTGAGAGAAACTGGTCAACAAACAGCAAAGCAAACACTTCAGTGCAATCTGTGCCTTTTTCTAAAGCTGGGAATATCTATGCAGCTGAACTCCAGGGCCGGCTGTGTTTCTGCCATGGAACAGCACGTTGGAGGGGAAAAACAAACATACAAGGATGAGTCCATCCCAGGCATCCAAATGGATGTGTTACCATCTCTAAAATTGCACACGGCTCTCAATGGAGTTTGTTTCAAAGCGAGGAAATGCAAAGGTGAAGTGCACAGATGAGAAAGATGAAGGCAGAGAGTCAGCTGTGATTGTTGGGAGTCACATGGAAGTTTGCTCCTTGGCCACTTCAAGTACACTTTTCAGGCAGCCAAGGAGAGAGATAGGAATGTTGCCTGAACATTTGATAAAGGTTGCCCTTCACTTCTCCTCAGTATACTCAATTTTAAAGCTATAGCCACTATTCATAAATCCTCTGTCCTAATGCACCTCCCTCCCCATATTTCCCCCCGTTTCATCGAGGTATAATTGACAAATTAAAATATATATCTTTAAGACATACAATATGATTATCCTATATAATAAAAGGCTAATATGTAAATAGACTGAACAGTGGAACAACCAAACAATCGGTAGCTATGACATGCACTGACCAACAGGGAGCATGCATGGAACATGGTGGGCGTTGGCAGCAGGTGGCAGAGCACGGAACATGGCAGGTGTTGGCCACGGTGGGATGGTGGAGCAGGTGAGCAGGGGCGTCAGACCAAGGTGGGGAACCAGTTGCTGTCATCAGGGCAAGCCTCTGGTGATTACTAAAAATTCGTTACTCCCGTATGCTGCAGTCCCACCTAGAACTCGCACCCGCTGCCAGCGCCCAGGGCCAGTCCTGATCATTCGGCACCACTCCCGATTGCTTGGCACCATCAGTGGGTGTAAGTGGCAGCTGTCGGCCCTGATCGCCCTTGAGGGCTTCTCCACCTCT